TCCAGCAGTAATATCGACAGTATCCGAGCCAGCTGCGACGTCGAGCGTGTAGGATTCATCAACACCATGTTGAAGCTCAGCGTGGGCATTGGAGACGTCAATTTTGACCTTGGTGATTGTGCCTGTGCAATTTCCGGGTGGTGCACTGTACTGCCTCTTGCGCTTTCTTGAAGCAGCGGTTGGGGTTGGAAAAGGCTGAAACGATGTGACCGAGGCTTCGGTAGCTTGCGGAATCCACTTCAGCTCCGCGATGGTCTTAGTAACGCGGTCGAACGCAGCGGAGAGCACCTCATGGTCCGGCGCATCGAGAGCGACAGATCCGAAAGAGAAGCAGCCGGAGTCGCCCCAGGTAATGTTTGTGGGTTTCGGGAGAGGGTTTGCAGCGACAGCTTCAACTTGTCTGGCGAACAAGGCTGAGGCCGTGACCACGGAGGCCAAGATGAAATCGCGCATGGTTGTTCAACTGTTAGGATGCTACTTTGTAATGAGAGTGGGAGCAACGACTGCGGGAAGAGAGTGGGTTCTTATGTTGTTGTTATAAATGGCCAACAACCATGAGTGGTGACGACGAACAGCGTTGACGGTGTACTTCGAAGTAAACTCACAACGTGGGGAGGGAAGGGGAATATCTATCAATTTCGCATTGAGTAGCTCAGCTTTGCCATCCTGGTTAGGCTATTCGCATCCCAAGCTCACAGATCAGCGACTGGGCGGTGCACTAACCGGGAAGTGCCCCTTAGCTGGTATATCAGAGCCAGTTAGTTGCTCAGCCTTGCTGCATATGCTGGCTCTCGACAGCCTCTGCTGCAACCCATTCCCGCTCTCACCAGACCGCGCCGCTTGCGCGCTCGCATCCGTACCGCATTTCTCTTGTGGCTGCTGCCGTGTTGCAACGTACCCCACCTGCTTTGCTCATCCTTGGGAGCATATACGAAGTGTGCGCCCCCAGGTTCGATACTACGTTCTGCGTTCTGTGTCCACGCCTTGGAATATAGCTATGGTAACCCTGCGCGCTGACAACCTGCACCGAGTGCTGGGGTTGGCGTGACGGCCCCCGAGCAGGAGGCTAGAGTAAAAGTGGGTTCCCCACCACCCGACCGCGAATGGAGCCCTCGGAATCCGCGCTAAAACAAACGGCTGGTACCCCAACATGCTTGCCTCGTGCCACCATGACCTGCTCTTTCTGTTGTGATAAATTTGGCTTGACATTCCGGGGTGAGTGTGCATGTGGGAAGTCTGGTGTAACAGTCTCATATACGAGTGCAGTGGTGGTCATGGTGGTCGTGAGGAATGCAGCGACGAGTTGGAAGGGTGGCGCTTCGGAAGTTTTGGTGGATCCGCGAACGCGTGGCGCCGTCCTTCTTCCTTCCGAGCTGCGAGCCTGTGCGGGCTGATGCATGAGGCACAGCAATCGGCTGTCGACATGTCTTATCACTCAATCTGCGTTGTTGGTGCGTGGAGACAATGTGGTCACTTGTCTAAGCCTGTAGTCATGGGCTGTTGCAGTGTACCAATCATGACGCTTTTATTTCCAGCAATCAAATAAGCTTCAGCTTGCGCCCTGATGCGACAGCCACGGCTGGCGGCACTGCTACCGTCTCCTCCATGATGACGCTACCATACCTATCCGCCATATCATTGCATAACTGTGCCGTGTACACCATTTGCTCACAGTTTCAGATTTTCTCGGCATGGGCTGGCGAACACTACAATCGGGCCGTAAGCAAGAGCCAACTGTAAGACAACATGCAGGTACACGGGTTTGCGGATATTGATGGCTACCTATTTCTCACGTGAAGGTGCATCAGGAGCAGGAGTAGAACCAGAACCAGACGCAGCCGCAGCCGCAGCCTCACCTGCCGGAGCAACACTACCAGACCCAGTCACAACCTCGTGATGAAGCTCGCTTTTGATCTTGGCCCAGTCCGGTGCTGCCACACTGAGCAGCTTGCAAACGTCCTTCCGCCTCTTTCTGAAATCCTCATATAAGCCCTTCCATATCCGTCTCTCAGCGCAGGTTCCCTCGGGACTGCCCCCACAATCGGGCTGCATCTCCTCTAACGCCTGTTCTGACCACATGACTGATGGGGGAGGCAGCGGCAGGTCGCTGAACTGGATGATCTTCCCCTCCTTGTAGACCTTCTCAGCATCCCATGTCTCATCAGCGCTGCCTAGATACTCGGAATGATTGTGGCGCCTGAACTCTGCCGTACGAAGGGCGTAAGGTCGATGTGGAAGTACTAGCGCGCTCTCTTCAAAGCGTTCGTTGAGAATCTCCATGTCATATCTGTGCATTTCGACCAACATGCTATCACCACCCCCTTCCATGCGGTTCTTGAACTTCGCAAGCTCGTCGAGGCTAGGCTTGACTACCATGAGCGTCGTCGACAATGGCCACGGTTTGCTATCCGTCCAGTATGCCCGTGCCATCGCTATCGGTGTCTGAGGGAGGAGGAAGAGCTCATCGAGAGCGTCGAGGAGCGTGATCTGCGACTCCAAAGCGATTACGCGGTCGTAGTACTCCAGACCAAAGGCCATGAGCTTCGTGACGGTCTTGTCCCATACCCAGTCACCTGAGAACAGTCAGCCATGTGCTTGTAGAGTCTCGCTTCATGTGCCGGGCGAATGGGCACTTGCGCAACGCATACCTTTTGTACGGCCTGCTACCTCAAGCAGCCTGATAGGATGAAGCTTTGCCTTGTATACATCGCGCGCTAAGTTGAGTAGTTGACTGTCTCGGTCCTGAGCGCTGTCTACTTTTGTGTCCCAAAACTCCGGGTAGAAGAGGACGCGGTCTGCCTTGCTACCGAATCGAGCGAGCGCGTCCAGGACCATCACGGCGTGGCATAGCTGGGTGCTGTCGGTCGCGTACACGCTGTACGCATAATTAGACCAATTGACCCTGATAGTATCTCCAGTATGAGGTGTCGTCTTGCGCGATGGATAGAGGATCCAGCAGATAAGGAAGAAGCCGAGGAAGTAGTACGCGTGGCGGCGTCGCAGGCGGAACGAGGGAGATTTAGCTTCGTCTACGAACCGCGGCAGCTCATCTGATCGTCGCCGACGCATTGTACGGTTGGCGTTGACGTTCGACCGACATGTTCGAGCGATCGTGTTGGTTGTTCAGGTGTCAGGAAGCGACTGGTGACGCGGAATCGCGGAAGTGTAGTGCGGAACTCCGAGTTTCCACGCTGCGACGCACGACGGCCTTGCATTGACAGCTTTACATACTAGAGTGCGCACTATCTCCCTCTAGATGTAGAAATTAACACCGAGTATCTGTCGAGAAACATAGCATATGTGTAAGATCTGTTCAAAGGATTATCACAACACGCATGAGACCGTTTCGATTCGACAGGATGCATTGTATCATTGCCGTATGCCAGGGTCACTTTTTGTAGTATGGTATCAAACATCCCAAACGCCGCGGCTGTGCAAACTCCACCGGTCCCGGGACGGGTAACTCTGGGTGGGAGACGTTGTCCTCATTCAGCTATGTAGCACCCTCTATGGCATATATCGTTCCATCGTGATCGTGAACACTTCTTGGTACAAACGCTTACTCCTCAGGAACTGCGCTCTGTTAGTGATTGATTTTCGCAAATTGCCAAGTATAACATACTCTCAATCTCGCCAGCCTTGATGTCGTCAGAGACATCCTTGGGGCTACGGCCGTCAACCTTGCAGCCGGTGCTGAAGGCAGTTCCGAGAATCTCAAGAACGGTACCCTGCAGAGACTTGGCCATGGACTTGAAGCGCATGGTGCGGGCAATGCTGATGATCTCATCAAGGGGAACGCTCTTGGTGTGCTTGATGTTCTTCTCCTTCTTGCGGTCCCGGGGAGGCTCCTTGAGGGCCTTGATGACGAGGGAGGAGGCGGAGGGAACGACGGAAACGGCGGCTTGACGGTTTTGGATGGTCAACTTGACGGTGACACGGAGACCCTTCCAGTCACCAGTGGCCTTGGCGATATCTTCACCGACCTCTGCATAACGAATTAGTATTGCCATCCATGTGCGCTGGTCGATGGGTTCGTTGCCTACTCTTGGGCGAGAGACCGAGGGGACCGATCTTGGGGGCGAGCGCGGATGAGGCACCGACTTCACCACCGGTCGCACGGAGGTGAATGACCTTCACCTCGGAGGGATCGAACTTGGGAGCTTTGAGAATGTAAGCGCATGGCGATTTCTAGGAAAGCCTGGCTGTTGAAGATGGTTGAATTCTTTGAGTGTCAAGAAACACCCTCCAATGGGTGTCCTAGCCACTCAAAAACTTCGCGCATCTTCGTAAGAGCCGACCAGAAGGATGATACTCACGCATGGCTAGTGCTTGAGGTAGTCAATCGGTTCTGGTTGTAAAGAGAGACTGCCGTTAATTTTGTCGGTTCGAAAGTTCGTGAGAAACGGATTCTCGGTGGGGAGCAATATTGGTCGACCTGTGAGAGAAGCGAGCCTTGGCAGCACCTTCCCTAATGGGCGATAGCATCTTTGCGTGCATCTCGGGCATCTCGGGCATCTCGGGCAACGCCGCATTGCTTCACATCTTACTCCACCACCATGTGAGTCGGTCTTCAAAATGCATGGAGAGAACATCTCCATATCAATACATGATCGCTCTCTTGCTTCAACATCACACGTCCAAACCAGTGACCGACACGCTTCACATCACGCCATCCACGACGCCAGAACATTGCACAATGAGACAATGTGAAGATGCCCTCATCATGATTATATTCTGCAGTGACAAGACCTTCTTCTGATACAGGTCATTCGTGTTTCTCAACCCCTTCATATACCAAACGCCCACCAGCCAGCAGCACGTGCACAGCCGACAGCAGCACGACAGCACAAACACCATGTACTTCACCAGATTGGCAATCAGTATGCACGAATACAAGACCTGGTATCATTTTTCCTTCCAAATACCGATAGTCTTCTTACTTCCTCGTAACTGTCTCTATATCTAATCTCCACGGGAACGATAGCACAACATAGCAAACCATGGTCATACAGCCTCCCTACAGAAACATACACAGACGCTACGAGAAGGCAATTCGCATGAGAGATCAGATCGACTTCCTTGTATGTGTGATTCAAAATGACTTTATACCTCGTGGAAACATTCTAAACACCGTGGAATAGACTCGAGCCAAAGACGACAAGGGCACTTCGAAGAAGAAGGATGACGAAACACCAGTGCCTGAATGTGTTCAGGGAGAGTCAAAATCCGACGCTACCAAGTCTTCGCCTGATGTCGATACCGTAACCCTTAAATGGCCTCTACCCCCGTCCACCCTACACGACGGTCTCTTGTTCAGGAAAGTTGGATGATACAATGGGACATGCTGAGTTGCCTTGAAACAATATTTTTATTTCGTTTCTCGCGCGCGCAAGCATGCGAATTCTATAAGCATATGAGGGTCCCGATTGAGGGAAATGTGTGCCATAAGAAAAGCTGGCAATATTTACTCTATGACCATCTGAAATGACAACTCGCTGGTAACGCCTATCAATAGCACAGAGCCAATAGTTATGTCCGAAATACCTCAGTAGTGATTTTCTCCAAAGCGTAATTCTTTGTCTAACAAATTATCACGCACCTCGTCCTCTGGAGATGCCCAGTCCCTGAGCTGCGGGAGCATTCTTTTCCCTCTCACTCACGCTGCTCCTTCTCCCAGCGATGGCCGACACACTTTCGCTCCTTGAGCTATCCATGCTCTGCCTCATACTACTGGAGCTAGACCTGCGCCTAGCACGTCTCGCCTCGTCGGGGTCATGGGGATTCAGCCCGCTTGCTCTTGCGAACAAATTCAGGATATCCGTGAGACTGATGACGCCACTTAGTCTGCCAGATAAGCTTGCCCCTGGCATAGCAGAGATTGCTGATGCGGAGATAGCTGGGGCAACCGCTCCAGTACTAGCAAGGTGGGTCGGCGCAGTGGAATTGACGGGTGTTGGGCCGGCCATCCCTGGTAGTGGTGTGATTGGCGAAGGAGGAACAACAATCGCAGGTGTTATCGCTGGAGTCGAGGGCCCTGATGAGGCCGGAGACGGCGCATCCACGACCCACATGCGATGCGAGCGGGTTGCGACTAGCTTGGCCACAGTGTGTGCGAGGGTACTGAATGGGTTGACGTGGAACACGGGGAAGGAGTCCTTGCCGTCATTTACTCCCCGTTCAGACAAGATGACAGATATGAAGTGAATACAGGATGAGCGAAGCAATGGGAGAGATGTGGATTTGGTCAAGAGCTATGAACTAGCTGTTAGTCGCGTAACATGAAACTGACCAGAGGAGACTTACCCGAACATCCACATGGGATATGTTGCCGATAACGTTGTTTTGCGCGTCCAAGACTGGGAGTGACGACACGCCTTCGTTGTTCATGAGCTCCAGAGCCGCTGCAAGTGGCTTATCTCCACTAACATTCAGTCAGCTGTGTGATTTCTGCGAACCCGCGCTATACTCACTTGATGGCTAGAACGGTCTTGGATCCAAGATTCAGGTCTTTGATCAGCTGTGGGTACAGCTGGTTTACGCCTGGGAAGCTCGATCGGTTCTCCCAGAAGAATTGCACCAGTCTTAGCTGGGTAAGTATGCCCTTGACGTTCGATGTGCCTTCTTCTGCGACCAACACTCTATGTACGCCGCTTCCGAAGACTTCCATGGCCTTGGACAGATCCGTTGTCTCGTCGAGAGTAATCAACGGCTCCTTCCTGCCACCAACCTCTTTTACGTCTTTGAGCGGTATGGGTTTTCCTTCTCTTCCTTTCTGCGCAAGCTCGTCGAACGAGGCGATGTCGCCTTCTTCGGGGTGCGCGAGGCCGACTACGAGGAGGAGGTACGCGTTCAGGTCGCTGTAATCGAAGGTCCCGGTCGCATGCCGTGTGTTGGCGTCTTCGCGCAGGAGGACGACATTGGGGGCGCCATGTTTGACTAGTATCTATGCAAATCAGCCATGCGCATGAAGATAGCTGTGTATAACCCACGCTCGTCGCATCCTCAACGCTGGTATCGTACTCGACGAACCTGACCAGGTCAGGATCGACAATCTCTCCCAGTCTGACGGTCTTCCAATCGCGTCCCTGGAACTTTGGATCACCGCCCTTGGTTGGTGGGTTGTTGAGGAGGTCTTGTAGCGCTTGCTGTGTGAGCGAAGGCTGCCGTGACGCGCGTGGTGATGTGGGCGTTCCTCGCATGTGCTCCGCGAAGCTCGAACGGTGGGACGATGCCGGGCTGGGGCTGGAGCCCAATTTGAGCGCAGTCGGAGGTGTGCGGCCGATGGAAGATACAGAGCTGTTGAGGGACGTGTCCTTGACGTCAATAGCCTCCGTGGTGTCGTGGTCTGCCATGGTGACGGCGGCTATGTTTTGGGGTATGCGGGGCTCCACACAAAGTGTTTGTCGGAACGCGCGGGTGCGGAGGTACTTGTATGCGCGTGATGGCTAGATGCTCTGAATGGTCCTGTCGCAAGGAGACGAACAGTCGCGCGTCTTGCAGCTTCAAGTTGGGCTGAGTGGTGTTTGCGGCATGTGAAGTGCAATAAGGTGGGGAGGACTTGCCTGCAGATGCAGAGCCCAGAAGATCGTCTCCTGCCTGGCCAGGGCACTTGGGCCGCAAGCTGCAGCCAAAATGCGGGGTGTGATTCGCTGCATACCATTACTATCAACCGTGTCGCCCAAGATTGCGCATCGACTGACACAGCCTTGCGGGGTTACAGACGCGTCCGCGAGTGACGGCGGCGGACGGGTGCTCCAAGCCATTCAATCGCGTGCGCGACGTCATACTGAAGTATAGAGAAACCGGGGAAGCACGCCAATCGCGCAAGGGGTCCAAGGCTCTACGCGGTGGTCAATCATAATAGCATTGCATTCATAAAAAAAAACTCTTGTTCGCAGCCCTCGGGCTGGTTGATTTCCGCCCATACTAACATCCTGAACAATTGTCAAGGAATAGCCTTCCGTGATCCATCAAGGTTTTGCCCAACGCCCGCCTCAAAGCATGACTCGAGTGAAACAAGAAACATTTCCCTAAGCGTCCTTCTGCTGCTCATAGTCCATGCCAGCATCTTTGTCAGCTTGACGCTGCGCCATGCGCTCGCGAATGGCGTCTCCAGAAGTAGAGTCTCCATCACGACCACTGGCGGGGGGCGCATGGCTCGCTGTGTCGACGACGTTGTCATCGTAGGTCATGCCGTTCATCATGCGTGCTTCCTTCTTCTGTTGCTCCGTGCTGGACATGGTCTGCGTCGAACCAGAACTGACAGGCACGCTGACGCCGGACATTGGACTGGTCGGCGTCTGTTCTCGCAAGTAGCCCGGCAGAGCGCTTGCCTTTCCAACAGCAGGGCTGCCGAGTTGACTATGCTGCCGAGCTGGTGTGCGCGCACCCTCGCCGAAACCGACTAGAGAGGCGGCTTCGTCACTGAAGCCTCCGATGCTTGATGTGTCCATGTCCTGGTCCTCGCTCATGCGGTCCGGCTCGTAGACATCGCTGCCACTTGCCCACGTCGTGCGACCGCCAACGGATCCGGTTGCGCTGGCACTGCCAACCGTGCTGCGCTCACGGAAGAGCTGCGGCTGGTTGTTTGCGTCAAAGTAGCCTGGCGGAGGATTGGCTGCGCTGCCTGGGTTGAGTCCTTGGGGAGTGCGGCCCGACACTGCAACGCGCTCGAGACCGGCCAGGCGCGAGATGCGGTCGGCACGCTCAGCTTCAGCAGGGTTCCGGTGGTGAGGGAAGTGACCGCGATGTCCGTCTTTGATGGCGACAGTCGAGAGCTCAGACATGGTCGTGGTGACCGAGTTCGGGGTACCTCTGTGTATACAGCGTCAGTCCGACTATTTCAATGAACCCCACCAAGCGCATATGCCTTACGGAGCATCACCAGGCGTCTCGTCGCCAGACGGCGGAGGCGGCAGGTTGATCAAGGTGGGCGCGTTGGTTGCCATTGTAGATGTGTGGTCTGGATTGGTTCTTGCTATGTGCTGTGAATGGTGGATGGCTCAGGAGAAGTACAGTAATGTTTTAGGAAGTCTGGTTACAAGGAGCCCGGGCCCCGTGACGAATGACGTAGCCGACGGACTGGTAGCGCTTCGAACAAAGCAAGGGCAAAGGGGCTGATCACGCCTTCTTGTAACAGATTGAACGTCTTTACGCGATCGACACTCAGCTTAGATATGTAGTTTAGACTGACTTGATAGTCTCGCCGCCTCACTCTTGGGCCCCTTTGGCCGTTGGCTAGGCGTTTCTTGACGCAGGGTCTTCTTGCCCTAAAATTTACCGAGCCGCTGATTCGCTACCAGGGCAGTGGTTGCTTCACTGTCGCCTCTTCACCTGGCTGTCCAGCGTGCTTCAATTCCGCTACCACGCTTTGCATGCCCAGGTAATGAAACAGCTGCAATATCCTATATACACAGAGCCCCACTGCAATATCTCATACACTTTAACAACCCAACAATCTACATAACTGTACAATTGGTCGCGGGCTTATCTGTATACTTGTACTTGTAATGGCTCTTGTGCCTCCTTCTCTTTCGCCTGCCATCGCAGTACCCATTGTAGTCGCTGGCATAGCCATCGTCGTAGGCACCAAATCCGTTGTCGTTCATCATCGGTTCATGCATAACCATCCCTGAGCCGCCCATCATCGGTCCGTTCGTGATCATCGGAGCATGCGACATCATGCTTTGAGGGCCATAAGGGCCAGTGAGGCGGTGGTCATAGGTAAAGCCTTGATTCATGGGAATCATAGCACCAGACATGGGTCCAGAAGTGATCGCTGGGCCTCCCCACCCACCAGACATGAACGGCGCGCTGCCCCACTGACCCGGGATCGCGTAGTTGCCACCAACGTGGTTTCGAAGCATCTGGTTACAACCCCAAGGTCCTTGAACCATTTCAATCGTCTCTCGATCTGCAAATCCGCCGTTACAAATAGGACAGGTGTATGGCGGTGCAATTAGTGTCTGATAGGTTTGGCGGTTGGGGCAATTGAGGAGATCAGAAAGAAAGCCGCAAGGTTGGCTCATGGAGATCCAAGAATGACCGCATGTTGGCGAGTCGTATAGAGTGCAGCCGCACATGTCGGACGGACAGAGAAGTTGCACAAGGTGTAGGTCTCGGGTAGTCAGACGACACAGGTCGAGTGTCGATAGTCCACCACTCTCAGCAGGATACGATTAGGCCAAGAAAGGGTGTTGGTAGTTGCGATGGGCTGAAGAGGGCTTCAAATCGTGAAGCGAAGAGTCTTTGACGGAGTGCGATCATGGAGCGACAGACGTGGGCGTAAAGGATACTGGAGACTGATCTGATATTGCTGATATATATAGTACATCCTGGAGTGCGATGTGAAGTATGGAGGCTTTTCGTGTTTACGCATTCATCGTTGGGAGTGAAGTCTGCCACGTTTGCCCCTTGATCGTTGTTGGATTCCAGGTTGTGATTCACGCGTGGCGCGATCACTATTCTTTGGGATCCTTCTTGTCAAGCAAGTCAACCACACGCTTTTCTTCGGCATCGGCGTCCTCCTGAGCCTGGTTCTTGATTTGTTGCATGAGCTCGTACAGCTGACCAATTTGTTGATCTATGATCCAGTCAGTAGGCAACGTTTACACATGTTGGTAAACCTACCGCTCATCTTGTCAATCTTTGCTTTGTCCATCTTGGCTTCCTTCCATGAATCTCCTTCGAGCATTTGACAATATGTTTGCCATTCCGATAAAAATCCGATCTGTCCATGTCAGAAACTGTGATGCATAGCCACCACCCTGAATTGATCGCAACTCACTATTTGCACGGGGTTGTCGATGTCCCTGTGCGCTCTGAACTCGGCCTTGACGTACATGTCACCAAGTAGTCGCTCTTCCACGCCCAGCCTTTTCCTATGTGAGCGTAGCAGGCGACGGTAAAGCGGTATTGGCGGCAACAAGGCAGCAGGTGCTGGCCTAAAGGGTCTAGATGCTCCTGCATCTGTTGCTGTAGCTAGTAAGCGCGTGTAGGCTCTCATACTGGCACAAAAATCGGATGAAGCTTCGAAATATTGCGACAGAGGAACTGTGATGCATTCAAGAAGTAATGACCTCAGCCTCGGCTCTACTCTAGACTAGGGTGCTCCTTCCACTCCAATTGGTCCACACCGACACCTCCGATCTCGAACAAAACCGCAACCATGCTGCCAACACCATCAACAGCCCACGTCTGTTTTGATCGCGTGTACGAACCAGCCGAAGACTCATATCTGTTACTCGATACGCTCTCTTCTGCGTCGGAAACCGCATACCTGAAAGAGCGATTTGGCGATGCTTCAACGACCCCGCCATTGGTGCTTGAAGTGGGCGTAGGATCAGGCGTCGTATTAGCCTTCGTCGCTGCGAATGCAAGCACCATATTCAGTCGCCACGATGTGCTGACACTCGGGGTTGATATAAACAGCTTCGCCTGCAAAGCTGCTTCTCAAACAGTCCGCGATGCCATCAGAGAGCGGGAGAATGGACGCTCGGTCTTCATCGATGTCGTGAACGGCGACTTAGCAAGTGCTATCCGACCGCACTCTGTCGATGTCTTCATATTCAATCCACCATATGTCCCAGCTGAGTTGCCCGATCTGACGAGCCACGACAAGTACAACACTGTGCCGGAAGGAAAGACAGCGACGTCATTCGAACAGGACTCGTACCTTCTAGAGCTGTCGTACGCCGGAGGCGAGGATGGCATGGTGGTAACCGATAGAATGTTGGAGCAGCTACCGGGACTATTGAATTCGGATCGAGGTGTCGCATATGTGCTATTGTGCGCGCAGAACAAGCCGGAAGCTGTCAAACAGCGGATAAGAAATTGGGGTCCGGGCTGGATGGCGGAGACGGTAGGATCGAGCGGAAAGAAGGCGGGTTGGGAAAAGTTGGTGATCGTAAGAATCTGGCGAGACACAGAGTGAGGAGGAAGCTGTGCCTGGCACCAAGAACGCGAGTGGACTTGGTTCAACTGAGGGTTGAAGCGTGGGCAGCGAACCTTGCGTCCATCTCGACCAGAGTTGACCTTCGATCAGGATAGTGATTGTGGTGGGCCGACTTGACCACTCGATTTTGGTAAGGCAGGAGAGCGAGCGTCAGCCTTCGTTATTTTGGCGTCTTCTTGTCGTCCAGGTCAAAAGCCTTCGCGACGAGCAGCGATAGTTCGGTAGTGGTAACATGCTTGATCTCCCAGACGTTTGGCTTCCAGAAGAAGGCTTCGGTTTCGGTGCGTTCAACACAGTGATCAGCCTCAGCAGCTGTTGTTACTTTGCGCGTGGCCGTTGTTGTGATGGATGAGATACAGTGGAGATAATCCTGGCCAGCTGGAGGAAGAGTGGAGTAGG